ATTTTTATTAGGCATAATAAAATTTATACGGGATTTTAATTACACTAGTCCTACTCGCTATTGTCAGGTTTTGTTTAAAATTACTACTATAAGAGTGAGGGAATAGACCTGTGAAGTGTAGAATGCACCTGTGGTCGCGCACACACTTGAGCACTATAATCCTGACCAGCACAGATGGCTCGTCTCCGTTGAGACTGGCCGCCGTGACTGGAATTCGCACTGGAGGACATTGTTAGCATTGCTAGTTTACTTTCTAATTAATAAAAAATTAATATTTCAATGTAAATAAGTATTTAACTTATTCTTATTTTCAACGGTTTTACGATATTTACGGCAAACGTGGCAAAATGTAAGTAACACATGCAATGTCATTTTAGTCTACGGAATTTAAAAAAAAACGACGTTATTAAATACTGAAATAGACAGAACAGTTGTATTTACAATGAAGTTTATACCGTCCAGGAGGAATGGGCGCCTGAGTAACGAAAACTATTCCACCTCAATTTTTTATGCGATTTCCTTCAAATTGTTCTACTGATGATATAAATGAAAAAAATAGAATAGCATAATTTTGTTCAATATAGATTATTACATAGGTAATTATTGAAAGTCATTTTTTTACTTACCACGGGTTCGGAAAATACCTCTGTCCTGGGAAGAACTAGCAAGAAGCCCAGCAAGACTTGTTTTAAACATATTCCACTTCAAAATAATTTTGTTTTTTGATTGTACAAATTTTAAATGAGCTTTAATAGAATCAACATGGTGGCGATAACCTCATTCCCAGGGAGGTTTTTCACTTGCTTATTTTTGATATTATAATAACTCTTTTTGTACAATTTTTCTTTAATAAAACATTTAAACTTGTTTAGTGACAAATTTTGTACATTTTCTGGGATTTTGTTGTAAAATCATATACCACTGCCCCATAAGTGAATTACTAATTCTGTGGAGTCTAGTAATTGATATTACAAGCTTATGTTTGTTCCTAGTGTTTAAAGTATGACCATCTTTATTCTTATCAAAGCTATTTTTGTTTTTATGTACATACATTACAATTTCATAAATATAATGCGATGCCAAAGTTATTATCTTTATTTCTTTAAAATTTTATCTAAGGGAATCATTACAATTTCAGTTATAAATCGCCCGTATGGCTTTCTTTTGCAAAACAAAAATAGCTTGGATGTCAGTCGCATCAACCCATAGTAAAATTCTACAAGACATCACGCTATGAAAGTAACTAAAATAAACTAATCTAGCTGTCTCATCATTGGTGATATTTCTAATCTTTCTTAGAGCACATGATGCAAAACTAAGTCTGCTTGCTAATTTAGATATATGGAGACCCCATTGAAGCTTCGTATCAATAGTAATACCAAGAAAAACAATGGTATCCACAAGACTCAACTCCTCCCCATTTAAGAGCAAATTGTTGGTATTTGAATGTTTAATATTAGGTATTGTAAATTTAATACATTTTGCCTTATTGTCGTTTAAGAGCAAATTGTTGGCGTTAAACCAATGTACTGATTTCGATAGAGCATTATTTACATTGTCAAAATTAATTGACTGTTGTTTGCGTTTGAAAATTAAAGAGGTGTATTATCAGCAAATAATACTATATCCTGATTGTCCCCTACAAAATAAGGTAAGTCATTAATATAGACTAACAACAAGAATGGGCCAAGAATCGAGACCGGAGGAAAGCCTTGGAAAGATCACAAAAATACCTAAGGCATCTTATGAACTCTCCCAGGCATTAAAAATATATTTCATAAGCTCGACACCTGCGTTAGTCGTCGAGCGATCCCCTGTGAAACCAAATTCATTTTTATGAAGTAATTTATATTGCTTAAAAAATTAAAAATTGATCTAAAATTATCTTTTCAAAAATTTTACTGAGAGTTGGTAGTACAGAAATATTTCTAAAACTAGCTGGGTCCAATGTACACTTACTACCAGATTTAAATAAACGAAACACACCAGATTCGATACTAGTATTAAAAATAATAGCAAGATGAGGTGCAATTAAATCTATTATGCATGTTGCCATGGGGCAACTCGGTGCAATATTGTTTAAAGCGATATTTTTTTCAATTGCTAGGAATCATTATTTGCAAACGGGACAGTTTTTTCATATTCTTTGATGAATTACGAACATAAAAAATCCTATGACTTTTTACGATAAAAGTTAATATTTTCGGAATTATGAATTTTTAAATGTTTGAAAAAGCCCAAATTCGAATACGTTTGACCCATTAAAAATACACAACGGAAAAGAAAAAGATATAAAAGTTTTTTTTGTATTATTTGATGAAATACGAACATAAAAGACCCTATGACATTTTACGATAAAGTTAATATTTTCGAAGTTATGAATTTTCAAGTTTGAAAAAATCTAAATTCAAATTCTGATCGATTGAAATACATAAAGAAAAATAGTAAAGTATAAAAGATATTTTTTTGATATTCTTTGATGAAATACGAATTCTTTCTGTAGGTATATCTTTAAGCCTTTTAGATTTTTACTAACGATGAATAAAGCAAAATCAAACCTACTACGTTTATAACTATGTATAAAAATATAATTAGTTAAAATTAGTTATTTGTTGTCTATAAATTAAAATTGAACAGCTATTGGTACATTGATATTTTTCTAAAAGTTTTCAACAATCACGCCCATTTCTGAAATTTGTTTAAAGACGCGTCCCTTTTTAAGCCTTTTGATCCAGGATTTATGTTACGAATAGAGTTCATCTTCTTATATAACCGATTAGAAAATATTTTAAAATTGTTTTCTCACACACTTAACTTCCAATCATTGAACATAGCACGAGCGATGGAATTTTACAACAGCATATTTTCTTTTTTAATTCGTTTCGTACGGTTGGCATCTTTAGGAATTTATTCGATCGATTTTTTCGATTAAAAAAAATATGTATACTATCGTAAACAGTCGATGTATACATAATTGCTGTTTTAGTCTCTTAGAATACGAATTTATCAACAAACTAATTCACTATACTGTAATTGAGGTATACTGGGCGATGCACTGTCAAGTGCGGATTCATTTTAGTTTTACTTTACATGACAAATGTTATTGGTCGTCCACTGTTATCATTTAACATTAAATGTATTTGTGACAAATAATACTTTAAAAATTATAAAAAGAAACTCTAAAACTAAAAAGAATGAAATAATTTTAACATAATTTATAATTTTTGAAAGAAACCTCACATCACATTACGTGTGTATCATAAACTCGTCGTACTTTATTTGGAAATTATATAATGATTTAATAATTTATTATGCAATAAATAACACAAGGTTAATTGATATTATTTATTTCTCTTATTATTTTCGTTGACGTCATCTGTCGGTAAACGCTGGCTTTGTCGATTTGTTAACCCTTAATTAATCTTGTGGTTTGTTCATAACGTTTATAGTTGCTACAATATAAACAAATCATTCCAGGCGGGTATTTATTGAAATCCATTAACGGCGTAAGTAATCAGACATGCTTAAAGCATTTCGATAAAACAATGCGTTTTAAATAATAGCAGTTATCTGTGTCATTTATGTGATCGCTGCAATCCGCGGCAACAGATGGTGATGTCGGTCAAATATTTCGCAAAGATTCCCTAAAAAAAAAAGAGTTAGTTGAAAAACAAATCTGCCTTTATTACGCTAACGATATTAGAGATCAGCCTAAAATTTTTCAACTTTGTCTTTTTTAACATGCTTTTATTAGCTTCGCGTGTTTATCTATCTATGTAACGGAATCTTTTAATATTATTTACACCAATTTATAAACGATTGATTGACTTGAAAACACTCGTATCAAGGACCGATGACAATAATTGAATACCTTTATCCTAGTATCATGATCAGGATCACCACCAGGTTTAGGATAATTCTCTCTAGATTCGATCAATGCGTGTATTTTAAGTTTTCTTAAATTTTAATATTATTATTTATTTGCAAGCTTGTTTTATTATTTAAAATTTTCTTGTTATCAGTAACAAATATAAACTTTAATTAAACATAATAAAAGCTATATCTTTACAAATCGCTTTTTACGATTGCGTTTTTACTACACACTATCAATAATTATTTAATCGAAATCTTAACCCTGTCGGTGTCTATAAAGTCCAACTACGCAAGGGTGTTGCGAAACGTTTCTCACTGTGAATAAATTGGTTAAAATATGCGACGAGGATATTCGTGGCGTGGTTCTATGTGAACATGTGAACTTGACCTAATTCATCACGTGGTCGACTCAAGTAGATAGTTAAGAGTCAAAACATAGTCTAATTTATAGTACGTTTGGTGACTCTTAAGTAAAATTGAATTATATTTAAAAAAAAAATGATAATTTTCTGTCGACTACAGATAACCATTCTTTGTACATACAAATTAGTCAAAAATTACAGCCTATATACGACTACGTCCCACTTCACCGGACACAGGCCGCTCATTTATTTTCTGAGGGTTTTAGGGCGAGGAAGTGTCCTCCGCGCCGCGCTGTCCCAATGCGTGTTGGCGAACTTCACATGTCTTCGAAATATTTTTTTTCTTATTTCTCAGGCATGCAGGTTCACGATGTTTTCCTTCACAGTCGAGGACGTGGTAAATCAGCACATAAAATTGCAATTAACAATTTCATTGGTGCCGGCAGGGATCGAACTTGGGGTGCTCGTGTACTGTGGCACATATAGTGAGAATATTATATATATATATATCAGAAATATTACTAATATAAATTTTCTGTTGAGAATGTAATGCGTTCTCACGGAGAAAAGCACAAAAAGCTTAACGTACGCTACGCAGTATACCCTTCTTGTTTCATCTTTAGATACGTCCGAGAAAACCGCGTCACGAACGTCAATCCTTAGCGCAGGAGTTGAACCTCTACACGCGAGAGAGGGGCTGCTTAATAAATACACAAGCGCGAGGCTATCAGAGGCAGTCGCAACGGCGGTCACCTCGGTACCAAAATGAGGACGCTGGCGATCACGGTGGGTGTAACTAGTGACGTGTTGTGATGTTTTATTTTCATACGATAGTGCATGACGACTGCAATTTTATTTTTAATTTTCTAATTACATTTTTTCAAGTGCATAGTTTATGTTTGCCCAAAATAAGTTTAGAATTCATTCACAATTTAAAGTAAATAAAGATAAGTAGAGTGAAATAAAAAATAAAATGAATGCGTATAAATAAGTAATTAAATTCCAAACATTAATAATAAAAAATTAGAGAAATATTATTCGTGCAACAAACGGCTACAGAAATTGCAGATCAGATGTAGGGAGTTTATTATGTACTCCGGTTATATATCTCCATTAGCTATAAATAGTGATGTCAATAAAATTGGTTAACTCACAATAGTGAGATTGTTATACAATTGAAAAACTGTTAGTCAAATATAATTGCGAAAATGGCATAATTTAAATATTATAATTTTTTCTTATCTTTCTATGTCCTTTTAAAGAAAATATTATGAGTAGGTATAGTCATTATTTTTGAACTCCCTATCTGATATTATGTTATAAATATTTTTTTTTCATAATGAAAGCAGGATGAGCTCCGCATACACTGTTTATAAAGTTGGTTTTTCGGTATGATGAAAGAGTCCCTAGAACAAGCGGAATTAATATTATTTTTTACTAAGTGTTCATTTGAATCTAAATATTTTTTCTCTTTTCAGATATGTTTGGTGTTTGCACTTGCAGCTACGATAGCCGTACCTATTAAAGATGTCGGTAACGACCCTAAATCAACCAGGGAGAAGCGCTCACCGAGCGGCTGGCATTCAGAACCGGAAGGAGTTTGGAAGAAAAAGCTTGTCTGGAAGGAAGAGTGGAAACAAATTTGGAAAACTGAAAAGAAATTAATTTGGAAAACAGAATGGAAAAAAGAAAAGGTGCCTGCTTGGAAGACGGAGCAGATACAACAATGGAAAGAAGAACAAGTACCAGATTGGAAAATAGTACAAAAGCCGATTTGGAAGGAAGTTCAAGTACCCATTTGGAAAGAAGTCCAAGTACCTGATTGGAAAAAAATATGGAAACCAGTCTGGAAAGAAATAGAAGTCCCGATTACAAAAGATGTTCAGGTGCCCGAATGGAAACAGACATATGTGCCTGAGTGGGTTAAAGAAGGCATTCCTGGTGAAAAGTTTTTGGGTAAAGATGACCATGGTTGGGAATATACCAGCCACGACTTGTGGAGGAAAAAGATGATTTGGAAACCAGTATGGAAAAAAATTTGGAAAACAGTACAAAAACAAGAATGGGTTAAGGACAAAAAGCTGGAATGGAAAGAGGAATGGAAACAAATTTGGAGAACTGAAAAGAAACAAGAATGGGTTACAGAGAAGAAACAAGAATGGGTTGAGGAAAAGGTTCAAGTATGGAAAACAATTAAAAAAGAAATATGGGTACCCGTACAAAAGAAAATCTGGGTAGAAAAATGGAAACAAATTCAAGTACCTGTTTGGAAAACGATTGAGGTGCCAGCATGGAAAAAAGTGTGGAAACCAGTTTGGGAGAAGGTTTGGGTACCAATCCACCATGAACATCACGGATGGGATTAAAAGTACAAATGAAACCCAATTTTCTGTACATATAGAAATATTTAAAACATAGTCATTTGTTAACTAATTGTTACCACAAGAACCCAAGATATTTTTGTTTGATAATTTTGTAAATATATTAAAATACTCGATAATATCTGTGGTGCTGGTAAGTAAACATTCAAATAACTTTATCGATGGGCGTACGCGAAGGCGAATTCCTTTGTTTTGCTTTAAGCGAATTTTTGTGCATCTAAGTTTTCGCCAGCGAATGCGAAATATATTATTTTGGCTTTGCGTGCGCCTAGAAAGTGAACACAGGACGTTATTAAAACATGTAATATTTGTTTATTTTTATAAATACTGTGTATTGTAATTGTGTTCATTTTCTAAAGACAGAGTTAAAGAGATGTAGGTATATGTTATGTTTTAATTCCGACTGTCATTGTTCAAATTTTAACTATGAAGGGCCTCTTTCAGAACCAAGTTTTATGTTTTAAATTCATTTGATTTTACTCACTAGGAACATAACTCTATTTATATTTTATATAATTACCAAACAGCTTTTTATTGTCTTAAGATCAAAGCTGCGATATGTGTACTTTGTACCATGTCGCAATTATGAGAGGCTAAAAAATTAAAACTCGTTTCAGTATATTGAAATATTATACTATGATTTGGGTACGTATCCGTCACATGTAAGTTTTAGTTACAGGTACGAATATTTGCTTTATCGGCAATTTAATTTTTGCAATTCTGGTACTCTTTTATTATTTAAAACCATTTTTATTTTGACATAGTAACCATACTTACATAGGGACCTCGAATTTTATTTGTTATAGAATGCGATCGACTTAAAAGTAAGCGACCATCGATCTTTAACTTAAATTAACATATTCTTTTTATTGTGAAAATAAAAAGAAATAATTATGTCTTAAAGATTACGTTTTTATTATATTCTACAAAATTTTAGTCAAAGGCATCAATAGTGAAAAGCAAATCATACCTTGATTTGCTTTTTTTTAATAAAGAATATAATTTATGATAAAAGAGAAATGGAAAAATTGTTTTCAAGAAACACTAAATACAAGCACAACTCTTGCAGTTGGGGTACTACTTAGAACTTGAATGTTCTAAGAGTTTATAAATAGAAGAGGCTCTTAATTGTTTTGAGTTACCAAATATTTTTAATGGTTTATTTTTTATTTTTATAAATAATGATTTACAAGTGTAAAAGTTGCGAACAGTGTAAGAGATGTTGTGTTGATTTTTTTTATGTTTTACATAATATATTTCTATGTTTTTTCATGTTTAAGAAAATATACATTTTCACATTAAAATGATTTTTAATTATCCCTCATACCATACTAAATTTTCGGTATACTCTTACATTTAAAGACTTTATTTCTTATTGATTTTTTTAACGCTCTATATATACATATTTAATTTTCTATAAAACTGAAGTGAAAAAAAACTTCCAGTCCATCTGATGGTGAATGGCTATTGCAGTACATGGACATCTGCAGCCAACTTCAAACAAAGAAGGCTGCAGATGTGTCATCACTTCTGCAGCAAAAAAACGTTACCTCCACACTAGGATTTTCTCCTGTATCGTGGAGGCATTTTACATACATACATTTCACTAGGACAAACATCCAGACCCGGAACAATTATTTGTAGGTTATACTTGTTCCGTGCGGGATTCGAACCCCCGGCCCTTAGTGCAGCAACTCATTGCTAAGCCACGGCGCCACGGAGCCGTCATTTAGAAAAAATCAATACCTCTTAGCCTATAAATATTCCTTTCAGGCCAGAGTACAGCCATACCGGCAGTGCTATTTGGTGATAGAAATAGTTACCTCTTAATCGGGCTCCTAGCAAAAAAAGGAGTTCTGACACCTAGTTAATTGAATTAATTGGATATGTTATTGTATTCAATACGATAAAAAATACATTTATTTGTTATTTTTTAAATATAGTAATAAATTAAGTAATACCTAAGCCAAATGGTTTAAAAATATTTAGTTTTTTCTTGATAAGCTTAACATTAATTAAAAGGAAAGTCACTAACGTATGTAGTTATAGCAACAAAGTACTTCGTTTAGCAAATCAATTTCATTTAATTTAAAGAAAGAAGTTAGTTTTTACTTCAATAAGTGACTCCGAGGCGCCATTAATAATCGGATATAAAAGGGATGGCACCATTGAGTTATATGTAATACGTACTAAAGAAGCCTTTCTAAACAAAAAATGTGTACTACTCTATGTCTTCGTGCGCGGCAGATAGTAAAGTCGCGCATGCGCAGTTGATTTAAGCGCGATGCGACTGCGCGGTTAGTTTATATAAAGAAATATATTATTTCATGATTTTTTTCTTTTGTAATATTACGATATTATTACCTATTTATTCACTTGAACAACAAATAATTTAACTTACTTGACTACTGAATTATTATTTACGTCCAGGTTTAAACTTTAATTTGAAATCTTGTATTATTGGCGCCGCTCCACGCAGCATGAATATTGAAACCACAGACTAATTAGTACATTGAAACCACACTAAATGACACTGTGCGTATTGCAGTACAGTTCAGTTGAACATAGTGTATGTTCGAAATGCGCAATCTAGTACGTAGTACATATATATCGATGGATGACACAAAAATTCCGTGTAAATATATTTTTTTTATTTGACAGATCTAAATAAATAATATAAATATAGGAACATTATATAACAAAGTATTAGAACTATAATTGCACAGTGCTTCTATTTCAGCTTAAACTTGTTACCAATATATAAAATAAGTGTGGTATGTATACTAATTATCTTAAGTTTGATCATTTAAAAGCCTCAGTTTCTGGAAATATATAAAAGTTTAGGTATAGTTTCACTTTACTATACGAACACGGCTCCGTGGCGCAGTGGCTAAGCAATGAGTTGCAGTACTGGGGGCTGCAGCTTAAAAATAATTGTTCCGGATTAAGATCTTTGTCCTTATAAAATTTATGTATGCAAACTGCCTTCAACTGTGTTGAAAACACAGGAGAAAATCCTAAAAAATTGGAGATCAACCTCGATTATCTCTAGGGAATCTATCCCTAAAGATAACGAATTAATCGAGGTTGATTTTTTTATAGGATACGGGTGACAAATGAGCATACAGTCCACCCGATGGTTGCTGTGGCCCATAGACATCTACATCTATCCTTGATTACATATCAAAATGCAGATGCGTTGTCACCCGTGAGGACTAACATGGAATGCCTCTATTCCAGTAAAAAGGGTCTCCGGATCTCTACACGCACCATACGAAACACAGCAGTGTTAGGCTGCCATTTTACGCTGGTATTCTGTGAGAGCGTGGTCCTTCCCCGGTCGAGCCGACCCATTCGTACTACAACTATACTACTAATATAGTTGCAGCATGGCTCTACCACGTAAAGATGATTAAAACCGGTTTAAGGGAAAATAGATCTTAAATAGTAGTCTTATGTACTTGTGCTATTTGCTGAAGAGACTAAGGGTCCACGCGCTACTAATCTTCACCGCTGGTAATAAGAAGAGAGTTTCTCTTTTCGCCTAGAGGCTAAGTAAGCTATTGAGAGGCGAGATGCATCATATTTATACAATATATTTCTTTTGTCTTGACAATGGTTTACAGCTGTGCTAGGAATCGATAGGTGGATAGGTTAGGTTATTAACACATTCTATATTTATGAACCAATAAGACCCGTATTCACCATACATGCATAGATTTGGAATGAAACTCGTCGCGAGATTGTTTTGTCTAGATGATGTGTTTCATAGCTGCGCAAGAATCCAATTAGGTGGTGCTGTAGTCAAGTTTTTAACAATTTATATATTTAGGGATCAGAGTGAGTCATATTCACAATAAGTTTTGTTTTCGTTGTAATAAAAATTTTATAACTTTTATTTACATTGTAAACACTTACCGAGTGAACGCAGATTAAAAACCGGAAAGGGCAACATAAATAAAGTCTGTAAATATTATAGACTAGCTGCTCCCCGCGGCTTCGTTCGCCGCAAAAATATTAAAATATATTACGATATATTTTAATGTTTTTGCGCGGAACCCTGATTATTTTTTTAATATAAAAGTTACTCCTTATAATATCACCTACATTATGCTAGTCGGTAATTTTATAGGGCACGCGCTGAGACACAACCATCCGCAATATCCTTTGTAATAATGTCTTTCGGTGCGGCCATGGCGACGACATTCGCGTGGGGCGCGCGCGGTACTGGGCATTATTACATCTTATTATTATATTATTATTATACTCAGTGCTTACATTGGATTATTTTGAATGTATATTATTATTATACTTCCCTTTATTAATTACCTTTGAATTGGACTTTGTTCACAATTTCAAGGGCTTTAATTTTTTTTCGCGGCACTCTAATTCGTTTTCTAAAATAAAAGTAGCCTAAGTTACTCCTTATAGTATCAGTGAAAGTCCCGTCAGAATTGGTCCAGCCGTTTCGGAGATTAGCCGGAACAAACAGACAGACAGAAAAAAATTTTAAAATTGTAAAAATGTCTTTTTTGTTATAAGTACCGTATATACTTTCCTATGCATTAAGTAAAATGCTGTTATTTTGATATTACAAACAGACACTCCAATTTCATTTATTTGTATAGATATACTCTACCTGTCGGCTCTATGGCGCAGTGACTTAGCAATGAGTTGCGATGCTGAGGGCCGTGGGTTAGAATCCCGTACAAAACAAGTATTTTGTGTGACGATACCAATAATTGAGGATGTTTGTCCTAGTGCAATTTATTTATGTCAATTTACTCTATTACAAGAGAAAATTCTATTAAAATAATATAATAATAAAAAGAAGAAATATACTAAATAATACAGGAAGTATCACGCTTTCACAGAATACCAGTATAAAATAGCAACATAACGCTGCTGTTTTGTATAGTTGGTGTATGGTGTACCGGAGAAATCTTTAGCTGGTAATGCAGCATTCTATCATAGTCCTCGGCGGT